TTTTTTTGAATCTCTATTTTAAATTTATCTCTGTGTTCCAGATTCAGTTTCGTGATAGTTCTGACAGTGATAAACAAAGTAAATGACTTTAGAGTACCACGAGATCCCCAAATTGCTAACCGTTGTGTCAAATCTGTTCTCTAGCTTAAGAACTACTGTGCAATAAAAACTGTTGCTGGACTTTTGACATGTGTTTAGTGAATACCTTTGCAATTTTTCGTAATAGACTGTCTTTCCAGCTTTGTTTCTTGTATACTTTGACTGAAATTCGTTTCCGGAGGACAAGGTCCATGGCTATTGGGCTAGCAAGACGAACAATAACCTGCAATGAAGAAAAACACGACGATTAACGGACTTCCACCACCGATGATGCACCTTCAAAACAATTGCTCAAAATTTTCAAGTTTTCAACGTCGTTTCTTTTTGGTTCATCGTCACTTCTGTAGTATTTTTCTACCAAACTGTGTTCAGGCTTTGATTTGAGGTAATTTAAAACATGGCAGAAATATTGGGTATAAAACGACATTGTTTTTAAAAGTTACTTCATTAAGACGCGCACATTGTGGTTTATACGATTGTCCAAGCTAAAGAAACCCATGAGAAAAATTATTTGCAGTTGTAGTAACCATTCCTTCGAAAGAGGTTTAGTGCTACTAGTAAATGTTTTACCACAAAATTAGTTTTAATCACAAGTTCACTTCAAAGTCATTTTCCTGTGAAAGGTTTTGGTGCAGGTCCCGGTGTGGCAAAATCCCTTCTTCGGTAGGTTTCACAGTAAAATAAACCCACAGGATGTCAACAGAATTTTCGAAATAGATGTACAATGCATGCAGGATTATTTGTAGTGGCAGAAAAACTTCAGCAATGTCTTTACCTTTAAAATGAGATAGACACGCTCGTACGACTGTGTGACACGATTGAGGAACACCGAGTCGTGAATGGACGAGTCCCATAACACGGTAGCAGAGACCTACAGGTCAATAAAACACATATTTACCAACATAATATGGGATCACGTGTAATATATTATCTGGGTGTTAAGTATCTGAGATTTTTCCCGACCTTATTTTCACCTTCTATGGGGAAGGCATGCGACTGAGTAACGGTTCGTGTCAGCCCTTGGGGTAGTCCCATATCTTGGAGATGAACATCTCTCTGTTGGCCTTACAAAGAAGATTACTCTCTGGCTCCCTATGTTCAATTTCGACATGGTTATTCAAAAAGCTACCTCACGGCTTGCGCATCTTGAAATGCTTCGCCTAAATTCTTCAAGTTCGTCGTTTGCAATCCGTGTTAATCTTCTCCATCCTTTACAATCCTTGTTCCTTTATGGTTTATTATTATCTCTTTGGTATTTTTCTATCTTAGTAAACCACTATTTTTAGGTTTCCTTCAATTTAAAGGTAATTTTGTACGTGGCCAAAATAACTCAAAATACCGTGACAGGACATTTTCCAGTTGCCTTCTGCCGCGTTTAAATACAAGTCCTCGTGTAGAACATTCCAGATGAAAATGAACGTACAAACAAAACACATTTTTGCGCTGAATTGCTTTGCAAGGACACATCGTTTTGACAGAGAGACAAAAGGCTACCCGGCAATGGTCTATTTCATACCTGTTTTTGATCGTAGTTTATGATCGGTAGTTCCATCATGTTGTCAGAGTTTTCGAATGTCAGGGTAGAGTCTACACCAGCTGGCCCTCCCTCTTCTATGCAGCCACTCCTCACGTCTGCGTAAACAAACATTAAATTACTAACAATGCCTCAGCTTGTTTTGTGCCACATCGGTGGGAGACTAGCGCCATAACCACTGCGCCATGCCTGCTCCCATAACCTATAAATTCTATCCATCTTTTTAAGTGGCAAGATGTTCATTATCAACAAAACCAAATTCTATGACTTGCGCAGAGGTATACAAATATCCTATGACTTTTCCGTGTCAGGAAGCAATTTTCACATTTGATGACTTTTCATGATGGTTACATGACCAACAGTTTCGATTCTCGTAACGCACAACCTTCTTGACCATATAACATAGCGCTTATTGACAATACTCCTACTCCAAACCCTAAGCGACCTTAATATAAAATTACGGACTTGAGCCTAGCTTTGACAAGAAAATAACATTCAGCCTAAAGTGACGCCTAAAGGACACAAACCAAACCCGAGATGGTTGCTCAATAAGGCCATTTCTGAGTTGCCTTGTGCCTCTGTTTCAAAACGAGTCTATGTGCAAAACCTTGCTTAAGCAAATGGTTTTGATTTGCATGAAGATGAACCTGTCAGGAACACATTTTTAAGTAAATGATTTCGCGCAAAGAATCGTTTTGACACAGGCAAAAGGTAACCTGGAAATGGCCTATTTGTTCTGTGTCCCCTTGTCTCTGTCCCTTACAGACTTTCAATCCAATGAAAGCAGCCTGTTTCCCGGTTTTTCAATGATACTGAAAAGCTGGCTTTTTATGGATCAATGGCAACTACCTATAGGCTTACCATTCAAATCCAGAAATAAAACTGGATTAAACCTTTCCATTCCCAGAGGCACAGTCCTGTTAAAAAAAAAAGTAATTAAAAAAATAAAAAATAAAAAATAAAAAATAAAAAAATAATAATAATAAACATAAATTTAAAAAGTATGAAAACGACAGTAAGAAGGAACTCCTAGATTTTTCTCAGCTTCGTACCCCGAAGAATGCTCCGTCAAGAAAACTATTAAATAACCATGACAATACTTATGATAAAAAAATTCAACATTTTGAGAGGAAGCCACATCAGCTTTAGCTGGTTTTCATGGAGGGAGAAAAACCGGAGAAACCAGAGAAAAACCCTTGAAGCAAAGCAGGAAAAAACAAACTCAACCACACAATTTAATACGGCAATTCTCAAGGCACAAGTGAAGATATGAAAGATCAATCATGTCCTCAATTCTCAAGGCATTCACAAATCCTACCCTTCAAGCGGTGGAGCACCAGGAATTCCGCTGCCATGCTGTGGCACAAGAACAGCATTCCTCTCCTCTGTGAGGCAAACCCACTGGTCTATCATCCAGCTCTCACGCTCTTTATCACTTGCTGACTTGTCTGCAAGACAAGACCCCCCCCCCATCCCCCTTGGGCGGCAATCGTACTGACCTGTTTGTGTTCAAATATCATTGTGTTAGTCTTTGGTCCTGGGTTAGAGATACTGGCATTGATGGGTGGCACCACAATGGTGTTATCATCATTCCAAAACTTGTACTGACAAAACACGTAATTACACAGAGCAGGAGGTAGGTCATACGCCTCTACCACTTTCACTTCCACGTGCATTAACGAGCCTTTGACGAGTTCGTCATCATCTCCATCATCATCCTCGTCATGTATGACCAACATATCGTCCTCTTCGTCGCCCGAAGTTTCTTCGTCTTCATTTTCTTCTTGCCTGGATAGTTTCGCTAATTTCTTCTGAGCTTTTTCTTTTGTTAGAAATGTGGAAAGAGAGAGAAGGAAAATCTCAGTTGCATGACCATTATTTACATGTACCAGTATTTCAAAGATTTCCTCAAAAGCATAATTCATAATTATTATAGTCACACAAAAACAAGTCCAATTTAGGAGATGGCACAGTGGGGCAGGGATGGTGCAGTGGTGAGAGTGCTCGCCTCCATCAACATGGCCTGAGTTCAATTCTGGCCAGGTGCCATATGTGGATTGAGTTTGTTGTTGGCTCTCGCCTTGCGTCGAGGGTTTTTCTCCGGGTTCTCCAGTTTTCCTTTCTCAACAAAAACTAACATCTCAAAATTCCAATTCGACCAGGATAGAGGAATCGCATGAAATCCAGCTAGAGCTGATGTGGTTTCCTCTCTAAATACTGTAATATATTTATTTATTTCAAGAGACCCACAAAGCACATGCAAGTAAGTTACATGAGTGTTACAAACAAATAAACAACATCTAAGAGAAGATGTACCTGATATTCTGGAAACTTCCACCTTTAACCTGCCACAAACCTACGGAGGAGAAAAAGTCATTCTCAGTCATTAAAATAAAGAAAGCATTCTCAACTTGTCAGAAATTGTATGAGCCTGCAGCTTTAGACAGCGGTTCCACTTAGCAGCTTAACATGAGAACCTGTATTAGTTGTTAGATGTCAAAGAAAAGCTGAAATATTTCTGAGTATTATAAATCACCTTCTTGAACATTCTATCAAGACTCAGACTTCCATTGATTTGCAACTGAGTTTTAACAGGGTTGCAGGTTACCAACCATGAAAGACTGATGCGGTGATTCCCCAGATGTTCAGCGATATCAGTTTTCATTGCCATGGTTACTAACTCAGAAGAAAACAAAAATTCTCCGACTTTTACTGACCAGAAAACAATTTTGACAGACCCTTACTAATCAATCAAAAAGCTGCTGAAAGTGAATCTTCGATTCTAGCAAAAAGGAGTTTTCGTGTTGTTATCAACACTTGCTATCAAAAACTTGCAGCAATTGTTAAAATATAAATCAATAACTTTGGCCTTCCACTACCTAGTAGCAAAAAATACATTGCAGGGCTGTCAGTATGTTTCGATTCACCTGTAGCCATGATCTTCACTCATAACAAACTCGTTACCTTTTCAGTGAGTTGTATCAACTGTTGCCAAGTTCACCTATAACATCAAGGGCCCATCAAACATACTCAGCCGTAGCAGGTGTCACAGGTTACAACCCTTATTGACAGCCCTGCATGTATCTCATCTCTTACCTCTCCTTGTTGACTAATGATGGGTGCGGCATACTCGTGGTTCACATCATGTAACAGACATTCCAGAAACACATTTGCCACACCAATAAGGGTGTGGCACTCCACTTCAAAAAACAAGTCGAGGTTTTCATCCTGTCAACAAATCCAAATATTAGAGGTAGCCTGAATTCTCCCATTTTATAACTTAACTCCTACCAAATCCCATAGATCACAAAGTCAACAACGATCACATGCACATATAATAATGAAAATATTACTAATTACTTACTTATTATTAACTACTTATTATCTACTACTTACTGTTTCTGAGAAAGGTATGTTCTCCTCTACACATTGATTGTACAAGTCTCTCATATCATAGATTTTATTGGCTAACTTTTCAAGGGACCAAACTGAAAAGAAAGAAAAGAATGGTTACCATTAAACTCTTCTATCTTCTATCTGTGAGGAAACAGGCAAAAACATTCGTACCCTGTGTGTGAGCACGCTTGTCAAATTTTTCCATTTCTAAGGCAACGAGCCAACTTCAGCTAATCAATGTTTCTTTAACCTTGTTGCATTCATACTTTTCCTGATAATACCTATTTCCAATTGGTACCATAGAGAAAACCTTAACCATTTATGCAGCAGGCTTACTTTGAGTTCCTTTGGACTTGTGTTTCACTACAATGGCAACTTCACTACTGAATCCAGGTCTGCTTCGACCAAAACTTAAACTTGATGTTGGAATCTAGTTGAGAAGCAAATTTGATGTTTAACTGTTAATAGAAATGTTACAAACTCAGAAGTAGCTATTGAGCAGTTCTTTCATGTGGTACTGTTTATTATGCTGTACAAGGTGGTCCTAACTTTTAAGTCTGTGGATAAAACCCTTGTGTGTGACCATTCAAATGAAAGCTATTGAGCAGTACTTTCATGTGGTACTGTTTATTATGCTGTACAAGGTGGTTCTAACTTCCAAGTCTGTGGATGAAACCCTAGTGTGTGACCATTCAAATGAAAGCTACTGAGCAGTCCTTTCATGTGGTACTGTTTACTATTGTGGTTCAAGTGGTTCTAACTTTGAAGTCTTTGAATGAAACCCTAGTGTATAAAAATTCAAACGTAAGCTATCAATTGGTGTGGTGACTTTAAGGATCAGATCAAAACCATGTTCTTCAGAGTTATACCTGTAATGTTACTGCAAACTCTGTTTCTTTTCCCATTTCTTCACTTAACTGGTTTGCCTCCCTAAATAAATCAAAAGAACTTATAAATATACAAGAAATACATGTATACAATAAACCAAGTCCAGTCATCTTTTTGCATAATTTTTTAAAATAATATTATTACACTAGCTGCTATTACCTGACAAGAGTATTGGCCTTAATGACTTCCTCTTTGAGCACCAGAGGTTTCCTTTCAAACTGAATTAAGTTTTCCCTGCTGGTTAAAAAGTCACAAAGAAAGCAAAACTTGGTTGGTACATATTACGCCGCAAAATGCATTAATTGTCGCAAAATGTAATACTGATGCAAAATGCAATAACAACACAAAATGTAATAACTTTTCTAACACATAATGTAATGGGCAAAATGTAATATAAATCTGTACATGAAATCAAAGTACTAAATGAGAGGTCTACAGTAAAAATATGCATGGCATGTGTATTTCAGCAAATTATAGTAGTGGATGGTCTGGGGTTATGCTGTGTAACAAGCACATCTTACAGCAGACTATCGCGCACTTGTTTCATGGCCACTGAAAGAACTTCAGCCTCCCTACCCCTATAGCATGTATAGTCTCTAGGAGTAGTCCCTCTCCCCCCTGAATATGATGTTAGTCATAAGTTGATTATTTTATTGATTCTCATCACTTGTTTGGTTTAAGATGCCTTGTTACTGTAGAGAGAAATCACATACAGATCAGTCTACAGTTACTAACCTGTCTTCACACCATGACATTCTAGATGAACCATACCCAGAACTGAAAGAACCAATACTAGATGTCCTCTCCATGGCCTGTCGCCCCACTGGGACCATCTGGTTTCGTAA